TTTTCAATATTTGATTTCCCTGACTAAATCCATAAAGCAAAGAAAGGAAAGATTAAAATAACAAGAACTACATTGACTCAAGCTCAGCTCAAAGTTTATGCTGGATTCTGCTGTATGCTTTTAGCGGGGAAGCAAAAAGTTTGCTCTCCCCTCTTGTGAAAGGGTCGTGTCAGAATAGGACAGGCCCTGAGGGACTTGGCATGAAGAAGTGGTGGCAATTCATTCAGACTTCTTCTTCCCAGGAGTGTGCAGTCCTGTTGGTCAGAAGGCTTTTGGTAGGAAGGTTCCTGTCCATATGAGTCTTCCTTGGGAATTCTGAGCAGACTTTCGAAACCGGTTAGGAAGAAACCATTTGTCTGGCTCTCATTTTAGAGGACTCTGATAACAAAAGCAAAGCCTGTGGTGAGATGCAGATCTGGGCAGCAATAATCTTTATTTCAGTGTGCCCCTGATATTGATCACAACGCTGATCAGTAAGCAAGGGAAGATGAGCCCATTTTATATAAAGTTTCTGCTGACTCCACTTGAAGGCCACAGCTATTCATCCCCTTCCAGGATGAGTATTCCTTTACAGGATCCTCCTGATATTCTTCTTTCTTCAACTCAAGTAAAGAAAAAACTGTTGTGTGGCAGTAAAATCTTGGTAATTTGGCTAGAATTAATTTGTACCTATGTATAAAAGCCATGTGAAGATATCACCTGACGCAAATCCTGTGCTAAGGTTGCAAAGCCCAGAATTTAAAAGTTAGGAAATGTTTTATTCACAGCTGCCAGCAGAAGCTTAAATCAGATGCTTTTTGTGTTAAGATATAGTCTTTAATTGCATAATCACATACTATTTTTTCCACAGGACCTCTGTCTCACTCGGGGCACAGGACCTACAAGAGGGCCAAGTAGAGGTTATGCAGGCACACATAAATCTGCCACTTCCTAATTTAGCTGTCCTTGACTTTGCAACCTACATAATTTTGCTTTCAGAGAGATACATATTATTTTCTTTTCTTAAACCATGATAGAGGCACTTTTCATAAATGGTTTCTTTTGGTGGGAAAATGTTGGATGTCAGCTTCCTAAAGGAGACACAGCTAAGAAATGGATAATTCAGTAAATACAGCCCCTGTGCATTTTTAAACATGCATAGACTAACACTTCATTTGCTCTCAGCTTGGAGTGTCTCATGGTGTTTCAAGTGCTAAAAGATTTACTATGGTTTATGACTTAAATATTTCTAACTCAATTTGTCGTTTAGCACCAAACCCCCCTGTCCTGCAGCACACTCAAAGGCTAAAGGGCAGCAGAACATTCTCCCACTTAACTGCCCATGGATTGGAGCAGCTCTCATGACCTTTCTATTGCTCCTGGGATCTTTTATGAAATTAATAATTAAAAGGCAAGGCCTCAGGTCTATCTGTGATGTAACGTTTGAGGTTTTCAGTGTAAAACCACATTCCCCCAGTCACAATAATTTTTTTACATTAAACAGTTTTGCTTGAAAAGAATTATACTGTGCCTCAGTATAATTTTGATTTTTCAGTCCACCTTGCCACCAGTTTTCTCTTCTGCAAAGCATTGAGTACATTTCCATTAAATTTCATTTAAATTTAATTTCAAAGTGGGTATTAATCTTATGGCTGGATATACCTTTTTAAATCATGCAATTCCTGGCAGGTATGACCTGGGTGCAAACACATAGCTTTATTTGCTAAGAATAAGTTATTGAGCTGTGTAGCTTTGCTGATGGTTCCATCATTAAAATGCTGGGACACTACTGTAAAAAAATGGACTGAAGCTACAGGTAGAATGAGCAGGAAACAGAAACACAGGTCAGAGGGATGAAGTGTGATGAGCAGGCTGTCACATCCAGTTCTCCAAACCTCGTAAGTGGAAAATACCCAACCTTGACTTGCATCAGCTTTTTAGAACAACTTAACAGTTATCAGAAAGAGCCCTTCAGTCCCAGAAGATTGTGTTTAGTAGGTGGCCAAACCAGTGGGTTTGTAATCTGTAAAAATAATTTGCTACAGTCTATTGGAACAATAATTATTGAGTGGCAAATGCATTTTAAGGCCTTTTAGTGGCAGCTCCACAATGGATCCAATAGAGACTGTTTTAAATTCAGGTTTTCATGGCTTCAGCAAATGCAGGTTTTAAGTGAGAATTCAGCTGTGGAACATTAAAAGCCTTCAATGCAGATATGTGCCTGGGCTGTATAATGGATGAACAATCTGAGGCAACACTGAAAGAATCCATTTTTCCCTTTCCAGTTTCTCCCCATCTAGGTTTGCTAGATTACCCAACAAATTTGAGTTAATATTCTAGCTTGCAGAGAGTTCACCTCATGCTTGGAGGAACTGTGGATTTCATAACAGCTTTATGAGTTTAGAGTTGCTTTTTGGAAATGTGTTTTTAAACAGAGGATGTGTTTTATCTTTTCTAGAACATATTTTCTTGATTTAACTGGCATGGATTCATATTTTTTTGAATAATTTAAGCAGTCTGGGTCCAGAGCCCAAATTGTGTTGACCTTAAATATAATCCTGGTGGAGTGAATGTTGAAATAGCATAGAGAAGTTTAGTTTTGTGTTGAAGACCAGGGTCAGTGAGAAATATTTCAGCTGTTACGCTGTCCTGATTTAGAAGGCAAATGAAGGGCTTCTGTGCATACTCACTGACGTGTTGTGACTGAATGAGTGCAGATGCATCATGATCTGGACTCTGCTAAACTTGTGCTTGGTGGACTGTGAATATATAAGAGTCTGTTCCTGGGAGAAGTCAAACACAAATTCTGGAAAGACCCCAGCGAATCACACACAAAAAAAAAAATGTTATGCAACATTTATTGGTAGGATGTGGAAAAAACCAGATGATTTACCAGTTTCTTTGGAGTGTCCATGGGAGCACCATGGACATTAGTGGTTCTCACCCATGTCAGGTCAGGAACTGGGCCCAGGAGCTGCCCTAAAGGCTCAGAAAAAAAGTGTTATGTGCATAAAATGAATAATCTTTGTGGAAGATGCCTTTATATTGTGTTGAATATTTGAATTTTCTGTTGGGCTGCTCCTTGTGCAGGGGACATAACGGGAAAGCATTGAACCAACAGAATTTGACAGAATTCAACAGAATGGAAATTTCCAAGACAAGGGAAGAAAGACTACAGTAACTGACAATATCTAAGATCTTATGCTCCTGCAGGACTGGAGATCCTTTCAAGAAAGCTGGGTTCCTGGGGAAAGTAGAATTTCAAATCTGTTACTAATGGTCAGAGCCTAAGAAATAAAATTTCCAGTCCACAGGGGCAAAATAGGTAGAACACACAACAGATCTGTGCTTCAGGCACATACCCAGCCCAGGTGGTATTTGGTATTTCTGCATTGTCCAGACATCAGCCAGGCACAAAGCACAAATCTGTGCTTGGTATAGTTAGTCTACCTCAGCTTAAGGATTTGGTGTGAAAAACCAGCAGCACAACTGTTTTGTTAATTGGGTGGAATAGGAAGGGAAGGCAGTGTGTTCCTCATCTGAAATTTAATTTTTGAAATTATTTCTAGTATTTGAAAAATTAATTGAATAATATTTTGTTAGTATTATTCACCCATTTATACCAACTATTGACAAGGACTCAGAACAAAAAATGTCTCATTTTTTAAGCTGCTCTCTCGCTTGAAATAAAAAGTGGATGTAGCAAAAATGCAAAAATGTGGAGATTTTTTGAAAGATATCTAAAAACAATGGGGTCCTTCTGAAAAAAAAAAGAAGAAAGAATGGAATTTGTTCTGTTCCTTTAGAAACACAGCCTCTGCCTTCAGAGCATTCTCAACGTTCTATATTTTTTCCAATCACTAGCAAAACAAGGGGAAAGGCTTTCCCAAGGGAAATCTGCTTAAGCCTGCTGCAATGTCTGTGAGGAGCATGGGTGCTGGTGGAGAGTGATACAGGGAGGAACTGTGCTGTCAACAACAGGAAGCTGGTGAAAAACGAGCGGTGCCCCTGGGGAGGTGAATGCAGAGCAGATGTCTCTAATTGTGAGTCACACTGTGACAACTGACAAGAGAAATTCTGCACTCTTGACACTTTAAAGATACCAAAAATACCAGAGAGCACATTCCATGGCTTCTTGAAGACTTCCATATCGAGGTAGCTGGGGGGGGAGAGCTCCATCTCCTCCTGTTTCCATCACTAAACAGCCCATAAAATTTGCTGTTGATAAGCTTCCAAGCAGCCAAGCATTCTAATACGTAGATAAGTCACTAATGTTAATAAAAGCACTGAAGAAATAAGAAGGAAGAGGTGCAAAGGGGATTCATGTGCAGGGCAGCACCAGTTGCTTTAGATACTGATCCTTTCAATTAAGGGAGGTTCTGGATAAGAAAGGGGAAAGTAACATCCTTGTTTATAAGCCCTGTTAGATTTTGAAATCTCTCCTTTCTTCCCCCCTTTTGTTTCTTTTGTTTTTTTTTTCATCTGGAATGACTGCAAGCATTTTCTTGATGTATTCCAATTATTGTCCGGATACAGAGTTGCAGATTTATATTGTGCTTCTTTAGTGGAGTTACAAAAAGTCAAGACCAGCAACCATTCATAGCTGGTTGCCAATTTTTTATTTTGGGATGAGTGCCTGGTTTGGGTGGGTCTGCAGATGTCAACAGTGCTACTCCAGAAATGTGTTTTAGTTGCTTTATTTGCTCTCTTGATGCAACTGCTTTACTATCAGTAGTTTAATACCATGCTCAGGTATTCTGCCCCTTGAGCATGGCCAGGTTGTTTTGTGTGCACCAAAATAGCCTAAACCAGCTCCTTAGCTTGGAACTCTGTGACCCTTGATATCTGTCTGAAGCATTATTGTTATTTTTCCTTTAGTCCCGTGCAAAATTTTTCCCCTGGATATTTGGGAAGGTGTGTGTGTGTGTGTGAATTTCAGAGTGTTAGAAATATTTTTGGGAGTGTCTCCTTCTGACTGCATTCAGATATCTGGTATTTTGGTGGTCTCCACTGTTTTTCAGGTTGTTGATATTTGTGGAAGCTGCCAACAATGGAAAAGTGGATCTGGTCACTTGGGAAGGCGCAACACTGCATAATTGTTCCTCCTATAGCTGCTGGGGTTGCTGCTCCAGGATGCAGTTTCAAAGCTGGTGTTGGATAAGTGGTCCTGCAGGGAGGTGCTGGGTTTGCTCAGGCAGGTCACACAGGTCAGAGCCTCTCACTTCAGTGTTTCTGGGTTGGAGTTATCTTTACCACTTTCTCTTATTATTATTTTGTTTTATGTTATACCAATTAAGCCTCTGTGTATCTTGCATAGCTGTGGTAGTAGTGTCACGTCCCATTGCATCATCTGGAAATCCCACTGGTCTTCCCCTCTACACTGCTGTGTTGCACCCTTCTTTGGTCCAGTTCTCGTGTGTCACTGGTGCAGTGTGAGATGAGAATAATTTAAATTACTGGGCATTTTGGAACAAGACTTTCCCTTGTAACTGCTGTGTCAGACTGACATTTGAAAATTTTTGAGCAGATGTTTTGTTAGAGGTCAGCTCCTTTTGCCATTTTAAAGATGCTGCTCCTCTGTGAAAAGCCCAGGACTTACACTGATTGGAATTATACTACTGAAATATTTCTGTTGTCACACTTAAGAATTTGTAAGTTGTGTAACACCCATGTACACTAGGTTATAGTTTCTAAAATAATGAACTTTTTTTCTGTGTCCATCTCACAAATATCTATGCAGATACACACATATGAGCCTTCCAAGACATGTAGTTCTCTGCTGTCCTTCTGTGGTATCACCACTGCCAGACAAGTCAACTGCAATGCAAAGCCAAGGAGCAGGACTCAGGAAATCCCCCTTAATTTCATGTTTGGTGAGAATTTCAAAGTTTGTCTCTTGTGGTATCATTTTTTCCTGCCGATAGTAGAAAGAGGAGAAAGCTCTGTGTGATACTGTGTTCTCAAATCCTTGGCAGGGATTTTGAGACCACAACTCTTCTCTGCTTCTTAAAAGCCTTTCCCTGGGAGAAGCTGTAGGACGCGGCGGAATGTCTTTCTTCTTTGTGTCTGTGCTGGCTAAAGCAGGACAGAGGAGCTTGAAAAGGCTCGCCCTCCTCAAGGAACGTTATCTGATTCGTAAGCATTCCTAGAGGTTAAGGCTGGTGACTATCAAGAAAGCAAATACTTCACGCAAGGGTAAGTCCTCTAATTGTGTTTGTGTTGAATAACTGCCAGATCCCCATGTCAGGATGTCTGCAGTCACGGCTCTGATCTCACCATTCCTTCCTCGGCTGTTGCACAATTGTGTTGCATGTTTGTGGTACGGGAGAAAGCTGGAGAGCTGGGCTATGAAACCATCTCAGGGAAGGAAGCCATGTTTTATTTTAGTTGCTTGGTTTGGATAAAAGCCTGTAGGCGATGGAATAACATAAAGAAACCCCATAATGTGGCCCATTCATGGAAAACAAACCTGGTTTTCTCTACAGATATGTGAAATATGAGGTTTGATAGCCAGGTTGGAAAAGGAAATGTCAATAAAATTGTGTTTGCCAGTGTAGTGGAAATCTTCACGTACATATGTGTGAAGTTATTACTTGTTCTACCTGGAAGTCTCACCTGTGATTGCAAGGTCTGTTGGGGTCAGGCTTTTAAATCCAATAAGGGAACTTATCAAAAACTGGTCATGAATCTGCATCTCTGATGGATCATTTCAAGGATCTGTTGTGGCAGGGTTGTGACAAATAAGAGGTTACAAGAGAGGAAGGAAACCCAAAGATACTGCAATGAGCTTAGCAGGGGAGAGGGAAGGGGAGGACATTATAATTCCTTCCAGCCACAGCAGAAGAGTTTTAGGGACTCTCAGAAAAAGCAAGGGCTGAAAGCCACTCAGGTTACACAAATATTCAATCCTGAAAGAAGACAGCAGTTGCCTTAGCCACAGAAATGTTGATTAAAAGTAATATCCTGATTGGTCTCAGTACCATAAATCTTTCCTAGATGATAAAGCTGTGCATTACTCCTGTTTGGTTAGAGCAAAGCAAATGTCACAGAGGTCTAATTTTAATACAGGAAAATAGTAAGAGGTTGAGTTAATCTATGACCATCATGTCGTCCCACATAATCAAATCGGGTGAGCTGGTAGCAGTGCTTCAGGAGGATGTCAGTTCCACTTCCTAAACCAGGAAGGGGAGAATTATCCAGAGCAATAAAGAGCTTGTACAAATAATATGAGGGAAATCAGAAGTTAATCTGAATACCAACTCACTCAGTCTAATCAGTATGAATAGCTCCCTGCCAACTGCTCCGTTACCTGAAACAAGGGTCAACTGATAAACATCAGCCAGTCCTCTCATTAAAAAAACACAGCTAACAACCCCCCTTCATCTCCGAATCTCAAATTCCATCGTTCCCGATAAGCACTAACCAGTTCCTCATCTCTCATTTGCAGTTCATATCCTGAGCTACACAGATTTGCTGTTAGAGATAAGGATACGAGAAAGCAAAGCCATATTAATACACATGTTGCAACCTGCGAGCCGCTCCGGGGCTGCCGCGCCTGGCTCTGGAAATAGAGGTGGTCAGTGAGTCTGCACTGGGATTTGGGATCTGGCCACACTCCGGTTGTTTGGCAGCCCTAGCCCAGATGGACACAGTCAAGGAAAGCAGTGTGAGCCACCTGGGTGGGGAAACAACTGGCAAAAGAGGGAGCAAGCAAGGAAGAGTGGGACTCACTATGTGTCTGGGAGCTGAAAGGGGTAAGAGGGACAGAGAGCTGTAAGCCCAAATTTATGAAAGATGTCACCCAGCTGCCATCACACCGTGTAAACTACTTATGGATTCTCGCCCCATGCATGCCACTGTTAGATATTTGTCACAGCTAAAGGCAAACCAACGTTTTCTGCCTTTGCCTCTCAGCATTGGTGTGGTTTCAGTGTCCTAAAAAAGCAGGTAACACCAACCAATGTTGGCATTCACAAGGCAGCCAGTAAAAAGGTGATTCCTGAATCAGTGTTCTGGGGTGTGAGTCAAACATTCCTCTTCATCCATTTATCCAATGTTTTTCTAAATTTTTGGAAAGGTACAAAAAAATGTATTTTTTTTTTTCTTTTCTTGGTAGCTGAGAGAAATAAGGGTTGAGTCAGCTGCACCACAATACAGAATTCTTCTTTACAACAGGTTAGAGGCTTCCCAGAGAAAACAGCTCCTTTCCGCTCTGCAGACTTCGGTTCTTCATGTGTTTTAGATTTGCAGATAAACTAGTCAAAACTAATCAAAAGCAAAACAGAGCACGACCAATATAAAATCCCCCAACAGATTTTTTAAAGGTCACTGACTCAACTATATTTAGTTTTAATATTTTTTTAATTTCAGAGTGTGGGAAATAAGCAGGGGTTATTTCCGCCAGCAAACCAAGGTTTTCTTAGCATGTTTTTTTGACTTCAGATTTAGCTAAAGTCAAATATTATGACCTGTAGTAGTCTGAGAACAAAAGTCTTGTTTATACTCAAATTGCTATTCACTGTCACTTTACTTGTTAAGGGAAAAAATAAAGCCTGTTTCAGTGAGCCACAGGTAAATTAAATTTAAGTCAATTTTATGATTAAGGTTTTGGAGAGAAGCTGCCTGTAGCAGCTTATATATGCTTATATTTATGGAAAGTCTACTCTTAACAGAAATAAGTCAAAGTTGTTTCAGTGATATGCTTTCCTTTTGAAAAATTTCACTTTTATCAAAGTGAGTAATATAGAGAAGCCTATAAAATGGATTAATTTAGATCATTATTTGTGGAAAGTAGATGCTTTCCCTCCCATTATTTACTTTTAATTTTGAAGGGAGAAAATAATGAGATGAAGGGTTTTGGTTTATTATTTAATTTGAAATGCTTTGACAGTAATGAAATAAAATACTTTATGCATCCTTTAGAAGCCAGACACTTGCTATTGAGAGGGAAATAATTCCCACCCAGTCCCGTTCCACCCCAGAAAAGAAGAGAAAAGAGAACAGATGCAGTTAATGGGCCAGACTAAAGTATCACGGGTGATTTTCAAAGCCGCGGATGAATTTAGCTGCACCTCTTCCGAGGAAAATAAAGGAGTGTTGTTTACTTGGGTTTTCTGCAGTTTGAAATTATCCTCTCCAATGTAGTCTTTGGGGGAAAGTCCACTTGAAATAATTGTAGACATTTGGAATTGACATGTCAACACCACCTCATATGACAGGGACGAATGCCATTCATTCATACACGGATTTTCCATAGACAACCAGAACACCAGAGACTATTGCCAAGCATTGCCAGTGAAAAGCAGGAATAGCTTTGCCTTATGATTCCACTCTTTATTTGTTACTTTTTCAAAATCGTCTCTCTGAGTGGGGAACAAGGTCTGGGCATTTGTCTCTTGCTGACAACTTTATGTCTTCTCTTCCTTTGGTTTCAGCAAAACCTTTCCTCCTACCTACACTCCCTGTTGCATTTGTTTATCTAAAATTGTCCTGGAAAATTATGAGTTTATGAAAATGTAATGTGTCTTGATTCTATGAAATTAATGAATTATTAATTAAGAAGTCTTTCAATCCCACGTACCCCTACTCCAAATATATACATGCACTGAGACACATATGTTGAATTTATTAAAAAACAACTTTCAAGAACTTTGGAATTATACAAAAATTAGACAAAACAGTACATTTAATACACCATCTGCTTTATTAATGGGTAACTTGCTCATCTCTGGGCCAACATCACACGTTGTGCTGATCCAAACACACACCTAATTAATTTAAATGGATTTTATCTGTGATCTTATGTTAAAACCCTAGTTCTTTGCAAGGTCTACCTTTTTGTAAAGTCACTGTGGAAACACAGTGAGAACTGTTTAATGAAGTGCTAATGGCTTATCCTAATTTCCATAAGGGAGCTTTTTTCCTTCACGCATTCCAACTTTTGTTGACCATCATCTTCTTTAATGTTCAGTGCTGAAAAATTGTTTTGGCAAAGTGGCTGAGTAGTCAAAAATGCAAATTATCATTCTTGGACTGTTTTTTTCTAATTTTTATTTTTCATGAAATACCTTTTTATGTTTTCTTTGTTACATTGACCCACTACAGGTAAATTCAAAGCAAGAACCACGTTATTTCTTTTGTTCCAATGACTCACTTCAGTTAGGAACAAACTCTGTTGTGTTAGTTGTTCCTTCTAAGATAATATACACTGCATTCCAACATAATAATAGCTTTTAATTCAAAATCATAGGAAAAAAAAGGATGATTGAAAATAACCCAGAGGTAATGGAGTGAGTGACTGTAGAATCATCCTCAGATCTCAATTCATCTGTCTGCTTTTCTACAGATTGGGGATTTTTTTTTTAATTTTTGGTATTTTTTTTTTAAGACAGTTTTTAATGCTTGAACAAATCTCTTTTTCTTCCCTTCGGTAATGTGGTTAACTGTCTGGAATGTGAGCCACTGGAAATTCTTCCCCACAGAAGAATCTCCATTAAGCTTTCAAACAGAGTTACTTCATCCCCACAGCTGCATGGATAGAAGGCTTTCTAGTGCCTAAATACTTACTGTATATGTCATCCTTGATTTTCTTTTTTTTTTATTTTTTTTTTTCCAGCCAGAGCTTTGGGAGCAGGTGCTAGCATTTTGCTTCCTTTCTGCTTCCTCTGTGGAGAACAGGCTGGAAAGAGCCAACTAATTAGAAAATTCTACAGGGAAATTAATTCTGCAAACAGCTGAGGAATGGCATTTCAGTATAATGCTCACTTTGTCTGTCAGTGGAACGCTGGTTGGCTTCACAAGTGGCAGCTCTCCCAGATGTTAAACATGTTGTGATGAGACCAGAACTACATCAGATGTTGCCCATTTACTAAAAGTCGTGGTGCTCTGGAAGAGTAAATACATTAAAACCAACCTCTGGGACGTGCTGTGTTGTGTCACAAGGCAGCAGCATGAGTTTTTTTACACATTCTTGAAGTGCAGCAATGAACCAAATCGTTTTTAGTGAGCTTAGTTCTGAATGTTGCCTTTGCTTTCATGGAAGGCTGGGGGCACAGAGTGGGAGGGTGTGAGAAGCCTCACTAAACCACTCTATGTGAAAGCCTGGGTTGTCAGAGCATGCTGTACACTTTGAAAATTACGTGCATCTCTGTGACATGTGTGAGCAAACACCCCTCACTTACCCAGCTGGCTGCTCA